GTGATGATGGTCATATTACCATCTTCTACTGTTACAGCAAGTTTAAATATTTCTTTAGAAAACTGCCCACAAACATGTGGAAACGTTAGCGTTCCTTTCCCTTTTGGATTTGGGCATCGTAAATGCGCCAAAAACTCATCCTTCCAGCTTAAATGCAACCATAGCAGCGGCAGCCTCTTGTATGGCAACATTTCAATTTACAACATATCATTGGAAGACGGTACCATCACCGGACTCATTCCCTCTGCCCACGAGTGCTACGACCAGAACGGTCGTTTGCGGAAAAAGGAAAATCAGAGGGTCATATTCAACAGATGGTCTCTCGTCATATCCCCCACCCACAACACGTTTATTGGCTTGGGCTGCGACACGCTGGCCATGATGACCGACAGAAAAGGAAGGCTTGGAAGTGGGTGCATCACCTTCTGCAATGACCGTACCGACGTCAGGAACGACAGTTCGTGCTCTGGTTTCGGATGCTGCCAGACCTCCATCCCCAAGCACCTCGATCGATTCAACATTACGGTTACCAGTGCTTCTAATCACACAAATGTTTTGGATTTCAACCCTTGCAGTTATGCTTTTGTGGTTGCAAATTCCTTCGATATATCGAAACTAGACTTCCTTGGTCACCGGAAAACTTTTCCATTATGGTTGCCTGTGGTGTTTGAATGGGTGATCGGAGATTACCAGGGCTGCTAAGATTATTGCGGCCTTAATGCTGAATGCTCTTACTCCGACACTGGTGGTGGATTTCGTTGTTTGTGCAACCCAGGGTTTACCGGAAATCCCTACTTCCCACTAGGATGTCAAGGTACTTCATATTTACAATTAATGTTTTTTATGCATATACTCTCCTTTTTAATTTTAGTAAGTCTAGTGTTATTTTAGTAAAATTAAAATATAATAATTTATTAATAAAAATTTTATATCTATTTTTATTAAATATTATATCAATAAAATTTTTTATTTAATATATATTATAATTAAGATTTTAAAATAATAAAATAAAATAAACATATCAAATAATATATTGAAAAATAAATAATTAAATTTAAACATTTTAAATTAGAACCAACATCGAGTAAAGTTTAACCAAAAGGTATAATTAATTTTGAACGTTCTAGGTAATGCTAATCGATAATGACAAATAAGTTTTAATTATTTACAATATATAAAATTATTGAAAAATGATTGGTATATCCTGATTTAATACATTTTACAACAGATCATTAAAAGTTATTATTTTCAAATTTAAATTTATGACGAGAAAATTTCTAAAAGCAAATTTTAATAATTGAACTGGAGTGTGTTGAACCAGATATACTAATCATTGTCCAAAATTATTATCTAAAATTATTTGTAGAACGAAGAACATATTTTTCTGAATAGAGTTTCATCCATCCATATATGTAATGTTCTAATTTTCCTTTTTTGGGTATGATGGAAAGTTTTGATTAATTTAATACTCCCCCAGATATTGATGAGTGCAAAGAACCAAACAACTATCCTTGCCATGGAACTTGCCGGAATACCAACGGGTCCTACACTTGCGAAAACAAAACAAACAAAACAACCTGGCCTATCATTTTGGGTAAGCCGCTTATTCTACCAACTACTATTTATTTTATTTCATTTCATTTTGATTTTTCTTTGCAATGGCAACTATTTTAACTAAACATTGATACCAATGTGAAACAGGACCTTATAAAGTTTTGATTTTTTTTTTCTTGTATATCTTATGATAAGTTATGATTTATACAATAGATAGTCCTCCTTTTTTAATTTGTTCTCACTCATTTCAAGACTTAAACTTAAACTTTCAATTAATTTGGAGTAGTAAGTTCTTAAAGTTTTGATATCCTTGGGGATCTCTTGATAAAGTCATCCTTAATTTCTCCTTCCTTAATAGTTGTAGGTATCAGTTTGGGGGTTGTAGTAGTTTGTTTAAATATTGGTGCACAGTGGTTGTCCAAAATGTTAAAGAAAAGAAGGAAAATGAAGCTCCGTAGCCAGTTCTTCAAACAAAGCATATTATGGCAGCAACAACTATCTTCAACTGAGCGTAATGTTCAACAGACTAAAATATTTAGTGCTAAGGAGTTGGTAAAGGCAACTGATAACTTCAACAAGAATAGAATACTTGGTCAAGGAGGTCAGGGCACTGTTTATAAAGGAATGTTGGTTGATGGAAGAATTGTCGCAATTAAGAAGTTCAAAGTATTAGATGAAGAGAAAGTTAAAGATTTCATCAATGAGGTGGTTATCCTTATGCAGATCAATTATAGAAACATTGTTAAGTTATTAGGGTGTTGTTTGGAGACTGAAGTTCCTTTGCTAGTTTATGAATTCATCTCCAACGGGACACTCTTCCAATACATACATGATGAAAATGAGGACTTCCCATTATCTTGGGAAAGACGATTAACAATTGCATTAGAAGTTGCATCTACTCTTTCTTACTTGCACTCGGCAGCCTCCACTCCCATTTATCACCGAGATATCAAGTCCTCAAATATTTTACTAGATGAAAAGCATAGGGCAAAAGTTTCAGACTTTGGGACATCAAGATCAATTGCCGTTGATCAAACTCATTTAACCACAAATGTTCAAGGCACATTTGGGTATGTAGACCCTGAATATTACCAATCAGGTCAATTTACAGAAAAAAGTGACGTTTATAGCTTTGGAGTTGTCCTTGTTGAGCTCTTAACTGGAGAAAAGCCAGTTTCATTGGAAAGGGCAGAAGGTGAAAGAAATTTGGCCTCTCATTTCATTTTTTCCATGGAAGAAAATAACGTCTTCAATATTCTTGATGCTCAAGTTAAGGATAGTTCTGCACATGAAGAAATTATAAAGGTTGCTAACCTTGCATATAGATGCTTAAGCTTGAGTGCTAGTAGGCGGCCAAGGATGATAGAAATTGCTATGGAGTTGGAGCATATTCGTTTTTTGCAAAACAATTCAAATGGTCAACAAAATCATGAAGAGACTAGGTTTGTCAAGACTGAAATAACGAATCACCAGGACATTATCTCGGGAGCTTCTTCGTCATTAGAAGCAGAGCCACTATTTTCAAGTGAATCATGAGCATTCTTAGAAAAGCATGTTGGCTCAAATGTTGTATGATATTGGTGGAGATATTAAAGTCTCCTTTAGTATGATTGTATTTTTTAATTCTTAATTTTAATTTTTATAAATTTTATAATTTTAAATAAAAAAATTTGTTTAGTTTCATATTTTTTTGTCTCAAGATGATTATGATTAGTTAAGAAAAAGAAAAAAAATAATTTTAATATTATTAAATAAGTTTATAATTTTAGTTATCAGTGTTGAAATTTGTTTTAAATTATTAATTTTACTTTCTAATTTTGATTTTCAATAATTAAAAATAAAA